ACTGATTTGTAGTCGTGTCCTCTTTTGGAAGGCCAAACAAAGTAGTTTCGCTTTCACAACGAAACACACTGCACGACACGACATGTCCTTCACTACATGGCGGCAGCAACAATTTGCGTGAACATTTGAGCAGCGTTATGCAAATCTTCCCACATTGTGACGTAGATATGTGGGGGCGTATTAGAACGAGCCGTTTTAGGTAGGCGTGGTTGACTCTTAACTTTTATAAAGAATATCTCTTTGGATTTGAGACTTTAGTCTTATAACCTTACAGATCTTTTTTATGCACCAAGAGCTTGTAACACTCCAAAGAGAAAGGAAAAATTGAAATTGCATCATATGACCCCTTTAAGAGCTTTAAACTTTAATATAAAACTTTTAAGAGCTAATGTAACATACATTTTATTTTTTATATCAACAAATTTCCAGTTTTTAGATATTTTAAAAAGGTTTGTTTTTGCAAATGTTACGAAAATGTTCAGTTTTATAATTTTGCAGACATCACGGGAATGTTACTGATGTTCTCTGAACGTTCTGAAACAAGTAACGTTTAAAAAATGGAATTCAAAAATGTTCAGAACGATGTATAAATAACGTTTTAACTCTAAACGAACATTCTATTAATGTTACTGAAAGAATGGTTGCTCATAACTTTGAGAGAATCTTGTCAGAACAGAAAATACTTCTTGAGCAAATTTGACCTCATTAAGGTGGATCTGCTCCATTAGTGCCGTTAACTCTTTAGTTCTGCTCCATAAGATGAACCACTCCCAAGTGTGTGAACTCGGAAGTGTCTTTTGTTTTCTTTTGATTCCGTTCCTCCAAACGGCCTTGAACCAAGCAGGCAGCTCCATGCTTTCAGAGTGAATTTCTGTCCTTGAATAACATGGTTTTGTGAATATGGTTATGGGGGAGTGATTGCTTAGGGTCACAATGAGGTCATCGTGAGGTCATGTGAAGAGGGAAACGTCCACTCAAGTTCAAGTTCAACTTTAAAAATAAAATAAATAAAAATAACATTTATAAAATAAAATAATTGTATAAATAAACATTTAAATGTATTTATATTATATATCTAGTTTGTTCTCAGGAGAATAAAATATTATGCAAAGTGATTTATTTTTATGTGTATTCAGGTAATAACTGGCCTCAGATAGGGTTATGGTTAGGGAAATTTTTTTTAATACTTGAAATAAAATTAAAAATTAAATACCATTTATTAAAATATCATTTATTTTAAAAAGTAAAAAAGTTTCCTAAATGTATAAAAATTAATGATTATAAAATTATTATATTTAATTTATATAAAAAATAAAATATAGAAAATATTAATTTTAATCTATTTAGTTAATCTAGTTTGTTCTGAGGGGAATCAAATATTAGGCAGAATTATATATTCAGATATTAACTGGCCTCAGATAGTAGAGAAAATACATTTTTATTTAATTAAAATAAAATAAAATAAAAATGTATTAAAATAACATTTATAAAATGAAGTTTCTTAAATGTATTCAAATTTGTTTATAAATTTATGAATTTTAATGTAGTTATATTTCATTGATCTATTTTGTTTTCAAGACAGAAAGAATAATGCAAAATTATTTATTTTTGGATCTGTGTATATCCAAATTAAATGACATGAAATTAGTGTAAAACCGTAAACATTCTACCACAGAACCAACTCTTTGAGCAAGATTTTTGCATAAAACTCTCATAAATAAAGACACAGTGACATATATAGATTATTCTCTTCCTGCTTCCGTTTTGATTATCTCGTGTTTTTTCTATATGATGTTTTGTTTTGTGAGGGCAAAGAGCCTCTTTGCACAAAGCTGCATCCCTGCGGACCTGCTGAATGCCTGGTGAATGAGCAGAATCTCTGCTAATGGCTTGAATGGTTGCTGGGTGACACACTGAGTTTGCTCATCACAGTGGGTCTCTAAAAGCCCCTCAGACGCTGGAAAACCCTTCCTCCTGTCATCCTGACACTTTTATCATATGTCAGCTGTAGTAGATTATATAGCCAACTTTGATTAATAAAATGGTGTTTTAAAATACATAAAAAAAAACATGTAGAGATCTTTTGTTTCTCCTAGAGAGCAAGACGACTGAATGGAGAACAAACAGATGTTTTTTCTTCTGAGTAAAGACCCTAGTATAGGTCTCACACATCTCTCATAGACATTCAGATGAATATGGAACCGCATACTAGTTCTGTACTCTTACTAAATGTCAATAGTTTCTACAATCATTTCTTGTAACTCACCAGCAACACCAAGGTCTTGGGTTTGAGGCAATAGTTTTGCTAAAAAAATTTTTTTTTAATTTAGCATTTTAGAAGAATTTTAACAGATACTTTTGAAACAAAAAGAAAAAAAAAGTTCATTTAATTATATTTAAAAAATTAATTAAAATTACATTTATAAAATACAAATATTTGTATTTATTTAAATAAAATGTATAAATAAATCAATTCAATTTGGAACAAAGTGTAGAGATGCAGGATCTCCAAGAAATGTTGTTAATTTAATTAAACTTATAGTTATTTATTTATAAAATCTTATTTATAATAATAATTTAGAACTGAACGATGCCCATTACAATTTTTCACTGGTTCTTTAAAGTTACTCGCCTGCTCGTTGAACGTCAGGAGAAAATGTGCATGAAACAAGTGATATCAGATGTTTTGATAGAGTTCAGCTGTTTCAAATGGACTGTAAAACTGATACCTTCAGGCGCTGGGGCTCTATTCTACTCCATCCAAACTCTCAGCTCAGACTCAAGTTCTGGGAACCCAGTGCACTCACCCAACTGCCCTGCTTCCCCAAAATCTACCAGTCTTCAAATGCTCTCCCTCAAAACTGTAAGCAGAAAGCGTCTTTTGTGCTTCATCTCTTTTGTTTGCCGGGAATAGAGAGGGACCGGGCGGGTGATGGGGAAGAGGGGGGTTACTGGTCTGGAAGTGTTTGATCCAAATTACACATTCAGGGTGAGCACTGTTTATGATTACTCTCACAGAGGCCGGACAAAAGCAGAGACATTCCAGGAACCCAGTGAAGAGGACCAACTTATTCTGAGAAAGGACAGAGACCTACATCATAACTTCATTCTCATGAACTCAGGCCTGGAGAGATCATCTGTAGATATATGTAAAACCTTCATTTGCCTCTGGATCATGGAGCAATCAAATAAAAATGACATCACAAAACAGATCGTTTGCTGATTGGTCAACTCAACATTCCAGACCTGCTAAAATACACAATATTGCAAATGCTGCGAAAACAACTACACTACCGTTCAAAAAGTTTGGGGTCAATAAAATGTCTTTTATATAGAAATGAATGCTTTTATTTATCAAAGATGCATTGAATTAATTTAACATTTATAATGTTGCAAAATATTACGTTTCAAATAAATGCTGTTCTTATGAACTTTCTATTCATTCAAAAATCCTGAAAAAAAAATGTAGGCTATCACAGTTGTCACAATGGTTTTCATGATAATAATAAAAATATGATTATTAAGCAGCAAATCAGCATATTAGAATGATTTCTGAGGGATCATGTGACACTGAAGACTGGAGTAAAGATGCTGAAAATTCAACTTTGCATCACAGGAATATTTTACATTTTAAAATATATTAAAATAGACAACTTATGTTATTTTAAACTGTAATTATATTTGACAATATTATTGTTTTTACTGTATTTGTGATTAAATGCAGCCTTGGAGAACATAAGAGACTGCTTTCGAAAACAGATCTTATAGACCTTATTTACGTATATATAAAATAAAATAAAATAAAAATATTTTTAAGGAAAACGTGTCAAAAATATTTTTATATTTGTCACCCTATTTTTATATTTATTTTCCAATAAAATAAAATAAAATAAAATAAAATAAAATTAAGGAAATTGTGTCTAAAATATTTATATTTTTATTTTATTTATATTTGTTGCCATATTGTTATATTTGTTGCACTATGATATCCAATAGAATAAAATATATCCAAAACATTTTGTCACCTGTTATTGCTAAATTTGATGTGTGCACAATGAATAAAACCTTTAACTGGTTTAAATCACTCAATCTGTAAATTACACGGGGTGACGTCACCCCATGGGACTGAACGGTTCACACACTGAAGGAGGCAGGTTCTCTTAGCATGGGCCTAAAAAACATTATATTTGGATATTTTGATTCAGACCCTACAAAAGGAAATATCTGTTTTAGCATTCATAAAAAAAATTCTTAAGCAAATTTTACATCCACAAATGCATAGTTTTAAGCTGTAAACCTGCCTTTTCTGTCTTCTTAAAAGAAATGGAAAATTACTTGAATGTGATCTCTGCATCTTCTAATAAGAAAGCTATAAGGACTGTTAGAATTTGCTCTGCTTTTGGACTCTTTGTGTGATAATTTGTATGCAATATAATGGCCCTCTTATTATTATTCTATTTATTTTATTATTATCATTTATTTATTGTATTCTTTTGTTTGTTGACATGTCTTCTGTTACTGATATTGTCGTGATATTATGTGTTGTATGGATATTTTCTGTATGTTCCAGTTTTCAGCAATTAAAAACACACACACACACACACTGAAGGAGGAACATTCTGTTTGTGGGGACTGTGGGAGAGGTGAGTGTGTGAAACAACTCTCACCCCACAGGAAGTCCCATCACGAGTGTCATCTGAATAGTCCAAAGACCTGCCGAGAGCGGAGGGCTGCGGAGGGCTGCGGTGGGCGGCGTTATTCCTCGCCCTTCTCAGCCATTGGAATCGTCTCTCAGGATTAAATGTGAAACACGATGTGAGTTCTGATCACTTAGCATTGAATCTCACAGAAACACGATTGAGGCTGACCTCATGTGTGCCTTCAAAGAAAGTATTTGTATAAAATTAGCAATTAGCCTTTGTTAATTAGCCTTTGAAAATTAACTATTTTTAAATGATTGTGCATTCTAACAGTTTCATATATTTTAATATGAGAATCAAGCAAGAACCTTCCTGCCATTCCATCATGTACCACCATTGGGCCCCCCTTTGAAGTGTCCTATTTAGAGTTAGCAAGCTCCTCCCCTTATGAGATCCTGAGTATCAGTAGCTTCTTACTGGTGGAAGGTTATTAAATTCCCAGCACAGACTGGCTAACTCTGATCACTCAAGGCATCTCTCAGCACAAGAACTCACTGGAAGCAGGTAAGCAGCTCTTCTTCTCTCAGCAACTTGTAGCTATGGAGGATTTTTTTAATTTTTTTTTTTTTTTGTGGCTGAGCCCTATTTGCCTGGAAATCAGTTAGACAATAAGATGTCTGTAGCTAAAAAAGGCCTATGTATTTCATTAAAAAAAGAGCACAGAAAGATTTGTGTGGTTCACACTGAATTGCTGAACCTCAGCTACAAGCTACAAGATCAAATAGCTGTAGGTCTTATGAATTTATTTTTAATTTGTAGAATAAAAAAGCTTAAATTTACATGAAATGTAATTGCATATATCATTTATGATTTAATTGCATATAAAATGTAATTGCATATATCATATGTAAGTTAATTGCATATAAAATTTAATTGAATATTTATATATAATTTTATTTCAGTAATAAAAATATTTAATTTACATAATATAATTGCGTATCATATATATTTAAATCATGTGTGTGTATAAATATATATATATATATATATATAGCATTTATTTTTTTTAGTTTTCAGTAATTAAAAAATCGAAAATATAGTCATTTATTTATTTAGTGACATGATATTTAGTAAATTTCATGTACTGAATTAAATTTATATATATATATATATATGTGTGTGTGTGTGTGTGTGTGTGTGTGTGTGTGTGTGTGTGTGTGTGTATTTTTATCTCAGTAATAAACTTTCATTTACATGGAATTTAATTGCATATATCACATATTTTAAAATATACTTACAATTAAGTTAATTCCAATTAATTTCATTACTGCATATTTAGGTTGCATTTTGGGTTTCCAGTCATTTTTGCTGTCTTTCCTATTTGAACTCAAGGATTTGGGATTTAGATCAGTCTCATTGTCTCATCTTCTTGTGTAGGGTCTCTTTTGGGTCACCGGTTCAGCCCAGCTAGCTTGATCTGAGTGTGTTGAGTGACACCGCCAGCATGACCAAAAGCACTGGGGAGAAGCCGCGGTCACGCAATCGCGTGCAGCAGATCCGAGAGGGAATTCACCTGCGTTCCCTAAAGGCAAGGAAGAAAGTGGAGGACATCACTAAAGATGACGTGAAGAGCTTTCTGAGAAGAAATGCTTTTGTGCTCCTCACCATTGGAGCCGTGGTCTTTGGTCAGTGCACCTGGTTTAGTGAAATTACATTTACTCAGGAAGTTTTCAAGTATGAATGTTTGTTCTAACCATCTAAAGAAATCATCTAAGCTGAAGTTAGTGTCTTGGTCAAGGACACAGATTACTGTACAACCTAACAACCACCAAAAAGCCTTTGGATGCCTTTTGATTTATGACAAAAAAGGGATCTGACATTTTTTTATTATTATTTTTTTTTCAGGTATCATGATGGGTTTTGCTCTGAGGTCATACAAGATGTCATACAGAGAAGTGAAGTATTTCTCCTTTCCTGGTGAACTATTGATGCGTATGCTGCAGATGTTAGTGCTTCCTCTTCTAGTCTCAAGTTTGATTACAGGTATGATATTTTGATTTTTTTTTTTTTTTTGTCAGAAATGCAGCAAATACTGTATGTTACGATGATAATAGAAATGATAGATACTATAAAAACCGGGAACTTAAGTCTTAGATCTTAACTTAAGTTAACTAGAAATCTTTACGCTTAATGGAAAGGATAGAAGAAAAAGGGGTGGAGCAACCGGAGCCATATAATTAAGAGAGCCCAATAAGATCTTCAATAGTATAGCTGCTCATTGAGTCTGGGCTGATGGGACCCAACTATACAAATGTTGTCCCGGGCCCTGTGAATTTTACTGACAGTCCTGTTTATAAGGAAAAGACAAAACAGTGATGCGAGGACATAGTGGAACAAAGACATTAATAGGATGAGAACGTGAGAGCGGCGTGAATTTGGAATTGTGGGAGTGGCTGAAATAATTCCATAGGATGTGAAAGAGTAAAGGGATGAAAGGAAAGATGAAAGGAAGGAAATTAGTTGCTAATTAATGCCAACACAAAAAAACAAGCAGCTCAAGAATTAAAGGGCCACAGAATTAAAGTCAATGTATATTTATAAGACAATTACTGACGCAAAAAGACCTAACATAAAGTTGATAGAACAGCAATGATTTTTGTTCAGATCTCATCAAACAATCAAAATAGCAACTTTCAAGGAAACAGGTGTTACAACTGTGCCTCTGCGAAGCATAGCATTACGCTGGGCTCCATTTTCAGGTTTGTAGACAGTGACCTCTTTGTGCTTCTATTAAAAGTGGCAGTGAGAATGAGGCAGAGGTTATAAAGACGAGTTCAGCCCAACCCACCCCTGCTGCTTCACTTCACACACATAAAGGAATGCGAGCACTTCCTTCAAACTCATTTTCTTTAAATATACCTGCAAACTCTAATTGGTTAGTAATACACTAAAAAATGCTGGGTTATATTTAACCCAGCATTTTTTAGAGTGTAATTATTCAGATGATATTATTTAATTAAATTGAAATATTGAAATTAAATTAAACTATTATTATTATTATTATTAATATTTGTTGGGCATTTTATTCGTTAATTGTGGCACACTTGGCTGTGAGGGGGGCTGTTTTGTTTATTCACTTCTTTGTAACTGCGCAACATGAGACATTTCTTTAGTTTGACACAAGTGCATTGAGACTGTTTGCTGTTGCTGTGGAGACATAGAGAGGGTGGCATGACTGCTGAAACACGGGCAGGTGGAGGAATTTCCCAGGCCTGTCTGAGAGAAAGAGAGATGAACGAATGCTGATCAAGAGAAAGAAGTATGGTCGAGAGAGACAGTGTATGAACAGAGGGAATTGTGAAGTGAGAGACTGAACTTTAAAAGATGCTGAAGTTTGGGCCCCCAGTAGGATACGAGAGGACCAAACAATAGCTGCTTTCTCTTTCTGCTCTGGGGATCAGGGCTGCAGAAAGGCCCCTGACTCGTTCAAAATTCAAACCTTAATTTGTTCTGGCAAGTCAAAGTCTTTTTGCTCAATTGACTTCAACAATGATTGCAATTAATCCTAAGAGACTTTTAAAGTCAAACGATATAGTGCTTTTTAGCTACATGAAGATTAAATCATGACTCTTTCATTATTCACCACCACCAATCTTTATGTTTGTAAAATTTCTGGTGAGATATTTGTATCAGAATATTGGTACAAGACCTGATCTATGTTTCATTCTCATAGAAAAAAATTCTAAATTCGAATTAATTCTATCTAGGCATGGCAGCATTGGACAGTCGCGCCTCTGGAAAGATGGGCATGCGTGCAGTTATATACTATATGACCACCACTTTCATCGCAGTGTTTATCGGCATCATTATGGTTCTGATTATCCACCCGGGCAAAGGCTCAAAGGATGAATTCACCAAACAGCAGAAGATCGAGCAGGTCAGCCCAGCTGATGCCTTCCTTGACCTCATCAGGTAATGGACTGGTGTAGTCCATCCGTTACTTCAAAATACTGATATGAGCCAGTGACTTTATTCATTATATACACTCTTTTGCAGAAACATGTTTCCTCCTAATCTGGTTCAGGCCTGCACTCAACAGGTGAGAATGATTTTCACTTGATCCTATTATTCAAAATTCCATTTTTTTATTTACCTCCTAGATCATAAAGATTTATTAAATACTATCTCTCTGTTGCACACATTATGAAAGCAATGATAAAAAAAGGATACAATTTTCTTGGCTAAAATCTTCATTACTAAAATTAAAAATGTAATGTAATTTAATTTAATTTAAGAATTAATGGCACAAGAATTTCTAAAAAAAAATTCTCAAATATTAAATATGGCTCTGTAATTATTTCACTGTCACACAATGTTGTTACTTTGCAAAAAATAAATTAAAATTAAATTTAAAAAAAAAGGAAAAGGAAAAAAAAAAAATCAATTTTATATAAAATGGAAATAATTTATTATTGAGGGTAAAAATTTACAAAAATGTGTGGTGCACCATAGCAGAAGTTAAAAAAGGCTGTTTTATTGGGTTATTCAAGGTCATTCCCTAATTTTTAACCATTTAATTGCCAATATTTAATTACAAAAAAAAACAACTAAATATTGAATATTAAAGATTCATATTTATATGGATAGACTCTCATAGATATATATATATTATTTTGAGGGTTAAGAAGTTTAGGAGCAGTTTGGGGTGAAATTCTAATATGTTTCCATGTTCAGCAGGAAATCAGTTTATCATTAGATTTGATGAGACTTGTTGACATCTCAAAGGATAAAAACGGATAATTTATCACTCTTGGATCCAAAATGTTTTTCTGGGAGGCCTTGAATTTATAATCGTACCAATACTGCTCACAAGTCTTGACAACATTTCATTTTTCCTCCTGCTGGCCCAACTTATAGTGTGTAAGGAATAGATATTTTCCATTTACTTAGCATTGGGAGAGTCTGGCTTGAGTTCGACCCACAGCTGTGTTTGGACCAGCTGAGAGCTTTGGCAGAGCTGTAACAAGTCGGATATAATGGGACAGAAATGGCCAGACAATGACACTGAAGAGTCTGACAGTGGCTCACAGTCTGTCCGGACACACTCCGCAGGGACACCCTGTAGTCAACCAGATCTAAAAAAAAAAAAAAAACATATTTCAGAAATATTGAAAAGAGTCTTTCTGTAGAATGTTTCTAGCAATCCAAATCCCTACATCAGAATAACATGAAAGTGAAAAAGTGAAAGTGACGTGACATGTGGCCAAGTATGGTTACCCATACTCGGAATTAGTGCTCTGCATTTAACCCATCCTAAGTGCACACACACAGCAGTGAACACACACACACACTGTGAACACACACCCGGAGCAGTGGGCAGCCATTTACTTGCTCAAGGGCACCTCAGTCGTGGTATTGAAGGTGGAAGAGAGCGCTGTACATTCACTCCCCCCACCTACAATCCCTGCCGTAACCCTGCCGGTACAACCTTTGGGTTATGAGTCCAACTCTCTAACCATTAGGCCACGACTTCCCCTCTGAACTGGATCATGAACATGAACTGGATCTTGCCATTTCAAATTGATCAGATTCTTGCTCATTTTTAAAACTACTTCCGTTCTTCCTCCTGTAGTTCAAGACCCAATATAGCAAGAGGATCATTCACGTGAAGATGATCGTGAACGATTCGATATTCAACCTAACTAATGCCACCCAGGAGATTGCCCAAGAGGAAGTGATCCCTCTCCCGGGCACCACCAACGGGGTTAATGCCCTCGGGCTGGTGGTGTTTTCAATGTGCTTCGGCTTGATCATTGGGAATATGAAGGAACAGGGACAGGCTCTCAGAGACGTCTTCGACTCCCTCAACGAGGCCATCATGCGACTTGTTGCTATTATTATGTGGTGAGTGATTCCAGACACACAAACAGAAAAAAAAAAACTTTTTAAAAAGTAAAGTAGATTCAAAACTGTGTTAATGTAGCCTAGGGCGGGTTTTCCAATTCCAATAAACTTCAAGAGTGAGCCTAACATCAAGTGTTTCCTAAACAATAGCAATTTAAACAATTTGGCTCAAATAAAATGAAAAATATTATATTGAAAAATATTATCCTGAAAAGAAATGTATCATGGTTTTCTCAAAAATATTAAGCAGAACACGTTTTCAACAATGATAATAATAAGAAATGTTTCTTGAGCACCATATTAGAATTTCTGAAGAATCATGTGACACTGAAGACTGGAGTAATGGCTGCTTCAAATAGAAAATGGTTATTTTAAAAATGTAATAATATTTCACAATATTACTGTTTTACTGTATTTTTATCAGATAAATGGAATCTTGGTGAGCTCTTCTTTCAAAAACATTAAAAAAAATCTTACACACCTTAAACTTTTCAATGATTGTCTAAACTGTATGTAAATATGAACCATTATAATTTCAAAACCATAATAAATATTTATTACAATCCATTGGTATTTATTAATTGGAATTACATTTACGAAGAGGACTTGTTTTGTTTAGAATAGCAAAAATCAAGCTCAAGATTGACTACATTTTCATTGCTTGCCATGTAAGTAACTTAGAAAAAGACATTCATCATAATTCATCATAGATGTGTGACCCTTTTTCATGACCCCTTTTCCATCTGCATGTGTAACTCCTTTGGGAAACCTTATTAACAAGTGATGCTTTTGGATGCAGATCCCTGCTCCTTAATCAGTTTCTTTTCCACTGTTTGATAGTCGAGTTTAAAATAAAACAGAAATAACAAACCTGAATGGAGGTAAATGTATCTTTACACATCATATCCTATTCCCAGGTATGCACCAATTGGTATCCTCTTTCTGATTGCTGGAAAAATCGTGGAGATGGATGACATCACTGAAATGGGCGGTCAGCTCGGCATGTATACGATTACAGTAATAATTGGCCTCATGATACATGGCATGATCATTCTACCGACTTTGTACTTCGTCATCACACGGAAAAACCCCTTCATCTTCATCACGGGTTTGCTGCAGGCCCTCATCACGGCTCTCGGCACCTCTTCCAGGTAAGTCAGACAATGTCAAGCTGCCAAAATCAGGAATAATTTGCTCTCATTTCACTTGTTCATATATATTTTTTTTATCTCCCAGCTCAGCCACTCTTCCGGTTACCTTCAAATGCCTTGAGGAGAATAACAAAGTCGACAAACGAGTGACTCGATTCGTGCTGCCTGTTGGAGCAACAATCAACATGGATGGAACAGCGCTGTATGAAGCCCTGGCAGCCATCTTTATCGCCCAGGTTAACAACATGGAAATGAACCTTGGGCAGATCTTAACCATTAGGTGGGTTATTTTGAAATATAAATAATTATCTGATAATTTTCTCAGTTTCTGAGTATGATTAATATTCTTTTTAATAATACAGCATCACAGCGACTGCTGCAAGTATCGGGGCGGCCGGAATCCCTCAGGCTGGTCTGGTCACCATGGTGATTGTGCTGACCTCTGTCGGACTCCCAACCGATGACATCACCCTCATCATTGCAGTTGATTGGTTCCTGTGAGTGACCATTTATAGAATCTTGATTTGATTTGGTTTACAAGCTAATAACAATACCAAATATATTTCTTGAAGTATTTTGTGAAATAAGGCAAAACAAAATAGCATATTTTATTAAAATGACTGCGTTTGGCACTTTATCTTCCCTCTTATTTGGGACTCCCTTCATTTTTTTCCCATTATCAACCCAGGTGACACACTTTGATGTGTTCCCATGAGACTTGCTCCATTTTTTTTTTTCGTGAATTTCGTGTAATTCAATTGGTTTTAACATAGAAACGTAATTAGGTTGGCCAAATTAATCATTCCAGATAGATCCCCGCAAGTTCCACAGCTAAAAGAGACTCTTTTTAAACTAGGATGAGAACTGAGATGAAAGTAGGAAACTTTTTGACAACTAAACAAGCATCACCGCTATTTACCGTCTCAATAAATAGATTCTTCATTTCCTCCTTTCTTCACTTTTCCCTTGCACTTACAGGGATCGACTTCGCACAACAACTAACGTCCTGGGAGACTCTATAGGAGCTGGAATCATAGAGTTCCTGTCCAAAGATGAGCTTCAGAACAGCGATGTGGAGTTGGGGAGCTCAGTCCTGGAGGAGAATGAAGTGAAGAAACCTTATCAGATGATCCCTCAGGAGAACGAGTATGAGAACGAGAAACCGCCAGACAGCGAGACCAAGATGTAGAGGCTGCATATTCAACCCCCAACCAAGGATTTTTTGCGTGCTTGCGTTTATATATGTACAGTGGCCCCAAAAATATTTGAAGACTTAAAATACACTGTTAAGAATTGTAAGAATTGAATTGCTTTTAATTAGCAAATATCTAAATAAATGGCATTTATTTTAAAGAAATCTAGTACAAGCATGCTATTTAAGCAAAACACAAAGTATTTGGACACTTTCTGGTTGTCATATTTTGAATAATGTTTGTAATTAGGGATATGAACTATACTCGACTACATACATTCACAAAAAAATTATTTAAAAAGTGAAGTTAGTTTTGAGAAAATCTTCCAGATGCCATTCGTTTTGATATTTTGTTACCTATGCAGTAAAATTCATACATTTTTGAAGTGTTGCTTAAGTGTCCACATTTTTGTGGGGCCATTGTATATGTATATTTAGTTTTGTTTTTGAATATTTCATTTTCAAACTTCTTTTGACCTTTTACTGTAATTTTGTTCTTGTGCTTTGTCTCCTGTCTCCAGGTCATACCAGTTGTTAATTTGATTTGGCAGGAGAGTGTTACCTTGACAAAAATACATCATAATCATTTTTTGTATTGCTTTTTCGTTGTTTTAATAATTAGCTGAAATGGGAATCTATGTGGAAGGCATTGGTATGTTGGTGACCAGCATTCGTCACACAGGATATAATAGGAGCAGCAAGATTTAAACCTCAAGAGTGTTCAAACGAACAGGGTCATGAATGTACACAGGACTGATTTTTAAGCAGAAATTAATATCAGTAAATTATTCCTCACTCAAGTTGAGTATAACATGGGCAGGATTGCAAGATTAAAAACTCCTGGGCTCCGCATATGAAGTGATCATCTAAAAATGGAGTATAAAATGTCAAACTGTAAATATCAAGAGATAATTATGTTTAGCTTTGAAAGCTGCTTTACACATCTTTATGTATGAGAAGACTGAGTGTTTCAGCAGCTATTACAGCAGATATTTGAGTTTTCTCAGCAGCCCCGCACAATATATCCTAAATGAACATACACATACTTATGAGTTTATGAGATTTTTTTAATTGTTTTTTATTCTGCTACAGTTCATCCACTGACCCTTTTATTGCCATTTGCTAACATTAATGATAAATAGAAATAATATGTAGCTGCTACTGATTATTAATTGTAGGAAAATGGACTGAATGTCCCCAGTTCAATGGTTGCAATGACATGCAGAACTGAGTTATTATAAAAACTGTAAATCTTTTTGAAAACATGCTATAGACACAAGTTGGAGTCACATGTACTCAGCTGCAAACTGTGATCTTAAATTTGTTTGCCTTTTTTTAAATGCTTAAATTTTTCCATGTTGCTGTATATTTCCTGTCAAGTCCACAAAAAGCAAAATGGGTGATTAGAACTATAGAATAAAGAGCATACGGATGTTGTGTGTTAAATATAGTTTTGAATTAAATGGAGAGTGGCGATGCATTGTGTGGGGATTTTTTGTTTAAAGGTGACATATCATGAAAATCTGACTTTTCCAGGTTTTAAGTGCTATAATCAGGTCCCCAGTGCATCTACCAACCAAGGAAACGTGAAAAAGATTAACCCAGTAACTTTGTGTTTTGGTAATCCTTTTTCTGCAAGCGTCTGAGAAAACGAGCGCATCTGATTTAGCTCCTTTGGTGACGTGGCAAAGGGATCTCATTATAATATTACCGCCCCTTAATCTGTAAGTTTCCACCCACAGCGCCGTCATTGTGTTTTCGCAAGCGACAACGGTGTACCAGCTCTAATGCCATGGCGAAAGTTTGAGCAAAACATGCTAACTGTTCTGCCTTTGGCTACACAGACGAGCACTAATTTAGATTTACTAATTTAGACATCACTATTTAGAGTGCCAGCCTCAGAGGAGGAGCAGCAGCTCATTTGCATTTAAAGAGACAGGCACGAAAAACAGCTGTGTTTCTGCTTCCATTCAAAATAGGCATTTTCAAAATGAAATAATAAATGATCTGTTGAGTATTTTGAGTTGAAATTTCACAGACACATTCTGGGGACACCAGAGACTTATATTACATATTGTAAAAAGGGGCATAATATGTCTCCTTTAATTATAAATGAGTAGTTTTTAACAAACTCTGCTTTGATATTGGAGAATTAATGAATAGAATGTGGGATATGATTAATATATTCACATATATGTATTAAAGATGGCAAGAAAAGCTTGGATAAATAGTTTCTACAAATAAAGGAAAGCTAAAAAATGGTAAATAAACCTATAGTTCACACCATAAGAAACAAATTTCTAACCTATTGGATCATTAAAAATTAGCATATGCTGCCATCTAGTGGACAATGGCTTTCTTCAGGCGACAAAAGCTCCATTACAATAGAGTCTACTGTACTGTCTAAATTGGCTGAATGCATTATGCACCGCATTGTTATTAAAACAATAATGAAAGAACATATTTGCTATAGTTTAGGGAAAAGTGTGCATGTCACTGTGATGATAGCTTAAAGAACATGTTTTCTTTTCTTTTTCTTTCTTTATTTTAATATATATTTTACATATTTTATTTATTTTCTTTTTCTTTCTTTTAAAAGAAAGAAGTTCAAAACCCTCCTATATTAGAATATTATTTGAGAATTCTGTCCTCAAGACAAATATAAATGCAAACAGTTTATGCTAATTGTTGGCCAGTGGCTTTCTATTTTTGTTCATTTCCTTTTTTCACAGTTTAACTGTTTAATACTCGTTTTGCTGTTTAAATTTGGCTAAAAAGCCAAATAAATATTATTTAATTGCAGGTTCCATAGTGACAGTTTGTTACGGTGTGAATGCACGTTTTGATGTTAGGGCACGTTATCACAAAAGGGCACGTTATCACAAAAGGTCAATAGATGTTCAGTGAACTGCATAGTTTTTCCAGGTGCAAATGTTTAATAGTCACGAGTTTAAGGTATGTGTCTATACCATAGACTGTATAAAAAGATCTATACCGAAGTTACAGTGTGACAACTGTCCCCTATTATGCCTAAAATAACGGCCATTATTAGTTTAGTACCGTAAGAGGGCGCAATTGAGCTCGTATCCAGATGCATATACTAGCATGAACAAATACCTTGGTTGAATATTCATATCGTGTCATATCTACGTTCATTAAATAATAATAATAACAATAATAATCAGATTTTAATAAGTCAATCAATTTTCTGATAGTAATTTTACAAGTCAACGCAAGACAGGTGAGTAGGGTTAAATTTTTTACTAATAGATATCACCATATCTCCAGTTGATTAATTGCAATACATAAGTAAAATTAGAATTACAAGTTTTCTGAAATGTTATATTTAAATATGCATTATCCAATTAAAAAGCACTAAATTGCATACATTTCCAGAACAGAAATCTAAACATTTACATAAACCCTGGTTAAATGGGCTCAATGCATGAGAAAAAATTGAAATCTACATTAAAGGGACATTAAAACAGAAAATTATGTTGTGTATTTGGTGTAATGCAATGTGTTTATGCGGTTTAAGGTTAAAAAAAAAAAACACATTATTTTCCACATAATGTACATTATTGTTGCTCCTCTATGCCCCGCCTTTCTGAAACGCGTCGATTTTTACAAAGCTCATCGGTCTGAAAAGCGAGGTGTACGCTGATTGGCCAGCTATCTAGTGCGTTGTGATTGGCTGAATACCTCAACCGAGTGACGGAAATGTTACGCCCCTTACCATACTGTGATGCCGTCTCCCAGCACTACAAGACAACACCAATAAAACTCATTACAAACGAGGCATTTGTTGCATCCAGTGGGGACATAATTACTGATTATAATGACTTATACTGTCTTTTTACACGTTGCGTATCGCGCTGCGTAAACCTAAAACCATGTCTGCATTTGTGATAGGAGAAATGACAAACAACAAGCGCTACGCTACACTGCTTAAAACTCACGTTTTAATCGTCAGTGGTAAATCCTTTAAATATAAAAAAGTACTTGCAGGCTGTGAGTCAGAAGCGCCAGACTGTCCTTGCAAAGTTGGAACTGCCCCACTTTATAGAAACAGCCTTTGTGCCACAGAGGCATTGTAGGCTACTCTGCAGGATCAGGAAACAGTCCTCCATAAAATGCGCTGGACACATCTGAATATTTGGGTACACATCTGAATATTTGAGTTGAACTGTTCTGGAACAGTGTTGTAAATACAACTTAACCACTGATTTCTAGTTGTGTCCTCTTTTGGAGGACCAAACAAATTAGTTTCACTTTCACAACGAAACACACAGCATCACAGAAGGCGGACTTGAGAATGGCGGCCGGCAGATTCGATGAAGGAGCATCCGGCAACCACATGTGACGACCCCGGGCTGGACTCAGCTTTGTCCACGGTGAAAGCCGATCTGGCGATCCACAGCGCGAAATTTATGTATTTCCTCAGCAACCAGCACGGATCAGCTCTAGGCATGACGAAGCAGATATCGTCCTCTTTTGGAAGGCCAAACAAAGTAGTTTCGCTTTCACAACGAAACACACAGCGTCTTCACGACATGGCGGCGGCAACAATACTACAGCGAGAATAAAAGTTATGCCTTCTTTC